CAATTCAAATCCACGTCTTTCAAGATCAGCATTCTGCGGGACAATCATCACAATTCAAATCCACGCCGTCCAAGATCATCATTCTGTAGCACAATCATCACAATTCAAATCCACGCCTTGCAAGATCAACATTCTGTAGCACAATCATCACAATTCAAATCCACGTCTTCCAAGATCAACATTCTGTAGCACAATCATCACAATTCAAATCCACGCCTTTCAAGATCAGCATTCTGTAGCACAATCATCACAATTTCAAATCCACTCCTTCCAAGTTCAGCATTCTATAGCACAATCATCACAATTCAAATCCACGTCTTCCAAGTTCAGCATTCTGTAGCACAATCATCACAATTCAAATCCACGTCTTCCCAGATCAGCATTCTGCAGCACAATCATCACAATTCAAATCCACGCCTCCCAAGATCAGAATTCTGCAAGACAATCATCACAATTCAAATCCACGCCTTCCAAGATCAACATTCTGTAGGACAATCATCACAATTCAAATCCACGTTATCCAAGATCATCATTCTGCAGCACAATCATCACAATTCAAATCCACGTCTTCCAAGATCATCATTCTGTAGCACAATCATCACAATTCAAATCCACGTCTTCCAAGATCATCATCCTGCAGCACAATCATCACAATTCAAATCCACGTCTTCCAAGATCAACATTCTGTAGCACAATCATCACAATTCAAATCCACGTTATTCAAGATCATCATTCTGTAGCACAATCATCACAATTCAAATCCACGTTATCCAAGATCATCATTCTGTAGCACAATCATCACAATTCAAATCCACGTTATCCAAGATCACCATTCTGCAGCACAATCATCACAATTCAAATCCACGTCTTCCAAGATCATCATTCTGTAGCACAATCATCACAATTCAAATCCACGTCTTTCAAGATCAGCATTCTGTAGCACAATCATCACAATTCAAATCCACGTCTTGCAAGATCAGCATTCTGCAGGACAATCATCACAATTCAAATCCACGCCTTACAAGATCAGCATCCTGCGAGCTGAGCATCACAAAGCTGGTCGTGAAGAGGGCCCAAGCATGCGTCCTGGTGGCCAGTGCACACCAGGACGACGCTTGGACACGTGTTGCCTGCCCCCTCGTGAATGCCACATTCTTGTTCTGCTCGTGCGCACGATGGCCATGTGACCAGGAGCTCGTTGCTAATGTCGAGTTCCTGCTGCTACCAGGAAAGGCCCACTGAGCTATGTAGCTCTTTTTCAGAAGCGACCTGGACCACAAATGACAGCTCAATGAAGTGTCTCATCGCGTGGAAATGTATCGCGGCCAAATACTCTAAACGTGTGACGTTGATTCTAAATGTAAGGGCAAAAACCGGAGGACCCGGAGAAAAATCCACGCGACCACGGACAGAGAGAGACGCAAACTCCAAATATACAGCAGCAGGTGTCAGGGTCAGGATCGAACCCACGACCTCCTGTATACCGGGCGAGGCAGTCAACATCTCATAGCAACCGTATGATGATGAGAGAGAGAGACACGCAAACTCCAAATATACAGCAGCAGGTGTCAGGGTCAGGATCGAACCCACGACCTTCTGTGTACCAGGCGAGGTAGTTAACATCTCCTAGCCACCGTGATGATGATGACTGAGAGACACGCAAACTCCAAATATACAGCAGCAAGCGTCAGGGTCGGGATCGAACCCACGACCTCCTGTACACCAGGCGAGGTAGTCAACATCTCCTAGCCACTGTGATGATGATGAGAGAGAGAGAGACACGCAAACTCCAAATATACAGCAGCAGGTGTCAGGGTCGGGATTGAACCCACGACCTCCTGTATACCAGGTGAGGTAGTTAACATCTCCTAGCCACCGTGATGATGAGAGAAACACGCAAACTCTAAATATACAGCAGCAGGTGTCAGGGTCAGGATCGAACCCACGACCTCCTGTGTACCAGGCGAGGCAGTTAACATCTCATAGCCACCGTGATGATGATGAGAGAGAGAGAGACACGCAAACTCCAAATATACAGCAGCAGGTGTCAGGGTCGGGATCGAACCCACGACCTCCTGTACACCAGGCGAGGTAGTCAACATCTCCTAGCCACTGTGATGATGATGAGAGAGAGAGAGACACGCAAACTCCAAATATACAGCAGCAGGCGTTAGGGTTGGGATCGAACCCACGACCTCCTGTACACCAGGCGAGGTAGTCAACATCTCCTAGCCACCGTGATGATGATGAGAGAGAGAGAGACACGCAAACTCCAAATATACAGCAGCAGGTGTCAGGGTCGGGATTGAACCCACGACCTGCTGTATACCAGGTGAGGTAGTTAACATCTCCTAGCCACCGTGATGATGAGAGAAACACGCAAACTCTAAATATACAACAGCAGGTGTCAGGGTCAGGATCGAACCCACGACCTCCTGTGTACCAGGCGAGGCAGTTAACATCTCATAGCCACCGTGATGATGATGAGAGAGAGAGACACGCAAACTCCAAATATACAGCAGCAGGTGTCAGGGTCGGGATTGAACCCACGACCTCCTGTATACCAGGTGAGGTAGTTAACATCTCCTAGCCACCGTGATGATGAGAGAAACACGCAAACTCTAAATATACAGCAGCAGGTGTCAGGGTCAGGATCGAACCCACGACCTCCTGTGTACCAGGCGAGGCAGTTAACATCTCATAGCCACCGTGATGATGATGAGAGAGAGAGACACGCAAACTCTAAATATACAGCAGCAGGTGTCAGGGTCGGGATCGAACCCACGACCTCCTGTACACCAGGCGAGGTAGTTAACATCTCCCAGCCACTGTGATGATGATGAGAGAGAGAGAGATGGAGAGACACCCTGAGACCCAGGCCGTGCGTGTGGGTAGGCTCACCGCGCGATGTCCCCGTGCCCGTTCTTGGCGGCGAGGTGGATGGGAGAGTTGCAGACGGTAGCGTCTCCCTGCTCGCTGGGAGCTCCTTCCAGCAGCCTGGGGGACACGTGGCTTCCCAGGAGGAGGCGGACGACCTGCAGGCAGGGAGAGAGACGAGAGTTCAGAGTTCAGGCGACCGCGAGGAATGTCCAGCACGAAGTTGTCGGTGGCCGTGAGCGGGAATCGAACCCCGGGCCGCCTGGTTGGTAGCGCGGCGCGCTGACCGCTATGCTACCGCTCCCCGCAACGCTAACACACACGCACACACACGCATACATACACACACGCACAGACACACACACACGTATACATACACACACACGTATACATACACACACACGTACACACGTATACATACACGTATACATACACACGTATACATACACACACACGTATACATACACACGTATACATACACACACGCACAGACACACACGTATACATACACACACACGTATACATACACACACACGTATACATACACACGTATACATACACACACGCACAGACACACACGTATATATACACACACACGTATACATATGTAATATGAGGATATATCCGGCTCACTGACGTATCACAACTCGTCATGGTGATTGGCTCTGCCGGTCCTGGTTTACAGCCAATGGGGGGAAGCCTGGGGGCGTGGCCCTGACGTGATGGAAAGGTGACAGCTGTAAGGATTGGTTCTGCTGGCTTTGGCCACAGCCAATGGGGAGATGAGTCAGGGGCGTGGTCCCGGGAGCTGACGAGGGAGCCTGGAAGATTCCATGAAGGCTAGCGAGGATTGGCGGACACGTACCACGTGACCCGGGTATTAAATAGGGGTGGAGACGAACGACACGTGGTCAGAACGGGAACGAACAGAGGAAGGGGGCCACGCGGGAGCGGGTCTCCGGGTTGCCACGTGGCAGTGCGTCTCTCTCTCTCTATCTGTCCCTCTCACGCTGCCTATCAGCAGCGTGAAGGAAACTATAATAACAAGTTGAATAAAAGACGGATTCCAGAAGTCGCCTCAACGAGCTTTATTACACATACACACGTACACACACACACGCACACACGTATACATACACACACGCATACACACGTATACATACACACACACGTATACATACACACCCAGAAACCAAAACGCACAAACACCACTATCATCAGGATACTCGCGCGTACTCCTGCGTGTGCTCCCGCGTGTACTCGTGTGTACTTCCGTAAACTCTTCACGAACTCTGCACGCACACTCGCACGTGTACCGCCGCACGTACCCCTTTCCCCCCCATCCCCCGAACGCGTGCCAGAGTATGTGCACGAGCGTGCCGACCGACACCCAGAGGTCGCAACCGGGTACCCGATACCCGTACCCTACCCGATACCCGGCTACCCGTACCCGGCCAGGTACGGGTACGGGTAGGCCGTGAGTCACCGGTGAGTAACCGTTTGTCACTCATTTCCCAACGTCTTGTCTCTTCTCACAATTCAAGTTCGTAGAATCAACCCACCCGCGCCTGCAACATGGCTTCATCCCAGAGGTAGCAATCAGGTACCCGATACCCGTACCCTACCCGATACCCGGCCGGGTACGGGTAGGGTACGGGTACGGCCGGGTACGGGTACCCGTTTGCGACCCTGGTGCAGCCGGGTACGGGGGGTAAGGAATCAAAACCCGTTTGCGACCACTGCCGACTTGCCACCCCACCTGGAGTCTTCCGAACTCGCAGGCGAGCGAGAGCGCCGTCTTGCCGGTGGCGTCGCGGACGCACGGCTCGGCCCCGTGCTGCAGGAGGACCTCCGCCTGGCACGGGACGGACGGGAGGGAGGTCACCGGGTCACGCGCCCGGGTGTGTGTGTGTGTGTGGGGGTGTGTGTGTCATGCTGGCCTTCATAGGTGCTCGCTAACAGCACTTGCCCCAACAGTCTGTTAAGGCTATATGGGGGATCTTTGTTTTTTTTGTGTGTGCGTGCGTGTGTGTGTGTCTGCGTGTGTGTGTGCGTGTGTGTGCGTGTGCGTGCGTGTGCGTGCGTGTATGTGTGTCTGCGTGTGTGTGTCTGCGTGTGTGCATGTGCGTGTGCGTGCGTGCGCGCGCCGCTCACTGCGAGGTGGTGCCCGTGCTGGCTGGCGAGGTGTAGCGGAGTGCGCTGCTCGTGCGAGGCGAGGTTCACCGAGGAGCCGGCCTTCAGCAGCGCCCGCACCGTGTCGCCGCTGCCCTGCCACGCCGCGTAGTGCAGGGGCCGCAGCCCTGACACACGCACGCACACAAAGATCCCCCGTGTAGCCTCCACACACTGTTGGGGCAAGTGCTGTCAGCCAGCAGCAGCAGCGGCACCTATGAAGGCCGGCACGGTGATGTTTACGCACCGCACCAGGTACTCATTTTGTGGCTGAGTCGACCTAGGGGAGGCCCAGGACCGGTTGAGATACCCCCCCCCCTCTTGCCCTATATAACCACGTGTCTCTCATATCTCTCTTTATTCGCTACAGTAATTTTGCTGGAGCAGTTCCACCCGATGACGGAGGCTTGTGTTGCTTTCGAAACGTCGTGATTTAATTTCGATGTTTTCATTTTTTATTTCGTTTTCACCCTACGTGACTTTACCGATAAAACCCAAAGAGTTTGCCCGCCACTGTTATTGACCGGCGATCGGGAATCGAACTCGGGTGGCCATCCCAACGTCGAACCCGCACGCAGACACGTTCCGTGAACGGATGAATAAGCGAGCGAGCATCTTGGGCCCCACTTGAACCTGGAGTCGAACCCAGGTGCCGGGTCACGGCGCTCTGACCTCCACCACCACCGCCGCCACGCCCTTGCCCGCACCTTTATCTTTACCTTTGCTGTCACTGATGTCCACGGTGCAGTGTCCGTCCAGCAGCGCGGTCACGACGTCCGCGCTGCCGCCGAGGCAGGCGTGGTGCAGCAGAGACATCCTGCAACGACAACAACAAACAGCCCACAAGTCAGGGCACACTGCGTTGTTGTTGTTGTTGTTGTTGTGATGATTGTTGTTGTTGTGGTTGTTGTTGATGTGATACAGGGTGGGTCCAGAAGTCAGGGAACACTGCGTTGTTGTTGTTGTTGTGGTTGTTGCGGTTGTTGTTGTTGTGGTACAGGGTGGGTTCAGAAGTCAGGGCACACTGCGTTGTTGTTGTTGTTGTGGTTGTTGCGGTTGTTGTTGTTGTGGTACAGGGTGGCCCAGAAGTTAGGACACATTGGGTTGTTGTTGTTGTGGTACAGGGTGGGTCCAGAAGTCAGGGCACATTGGGTTGTTGTTGTTGTTGTTGTTGTTGTGGTACAGGGTGGTCCAGAAGTCAGGGCACATTGGGTTGTTGTTGTGGTTGTTGTTGATGTGATACAGGGTGGCCCCACAAGTCAGGACACATTGGGTTGTTGTTGTTGTTGTGGTACAGGGTGGCCCAGAAGTCAGGACACATTGGGTTGTTGTGGTTGTTGTTGTGGTACAGGGTGGTCCACAAGTCAGGGCACATGAGGTACGGGGACATTAACAATCAGCACACGATCAAAGTTGTAACTAAATGACAGATAAAGGCTTCAGGTTGACTTTCAGCGCCGCCCTATCACATTTCTGACGGCTACGCAACAAGCTGCCTGAAACAAACAACGCAACGGGATTCCCTGCGTGCTTTGCATGTCAAGATGACGACCGTCACCATTCCTGAGTGCATTCCTAGCACGGCCTGGAGGAGCCCCCCCAGATCAACGGAGCTGAGATCTCGACGTATTTCATTTGTTTGGCCACGTAGTTGAGCGTTCAGCAGCGTCGCGTCGGGTGCCATCGATGCTTTTTTTTGCGTATCATTATTGAATAGGGAAAATAATCTGATTATTTTGTTGTTATATTATCCCCCCACCGCCCCCCGCCCCCCCGCAGCCGAAGATCTGATTCGTGATTGATTTTCCACGGCAGGCCACGGACCGACGTGGACACATTCCTTGTGGTGACACCGGCCGCCGCCTTCAAGGGCAAGCGCTCGCGCCAAGCTGTTCAACGATGCCTCGGTCGTTGCCGGATAGCGCGGTAATAACCAGATAGCGTGGTAATGACCAGATAAAACATAATAAAATAATTCTCACGACGTTTCGGCCACAACGGTGAAACCAGGTCTGTCGAGGCGACAGACCTGGTTTCACCTGAGGACGGCTGCTTGCGTTGTGGTCGAAACGTCGTGAGAATTATTTTATGAAGTTTTATTTTTATTATTTTATTACTTCCCTTCTACGTGACTTTACCGAAAGAACCAAGAAGATGGATCCCTGCAGTCACGAAAGCTTTAAATCGAAATTTAAAAAAATGACCAGATAGCGCGGTAATAACCGGGGCGGCCGTTGGGATCCGAACTGCCGGCATCCGCAAACGAGCCCCGGGCGCCAGGCCGCGCCGGCTGCATGAATCATCGCTGGAGGAGTTCGCGTCAGACGGTGGAGGGTTTCTCACGGCGCTGTCACGCTGTGCCCACGGCGACGGCGGACGAAACGCCGGAGCCCACTCACCCATCGTCGTCCTGCAGGTTGACGTTGGACTGTTTTGTGGTCCCCTTCTTGCCTGCAAGGAGGAAGAAGAAACAAAATAAGTTAACGACGCAATGCTCGTCAGCGGCGTTGTGGAGAATATTGTGTTAATCGTTGCTATTCAAGATAAATGTGTTTTTTTGAGCCCCTTGGGCTAAATCGTCTAAATGCGCGTCACAGACCCCCTACCACCGCCCCGACGCAGCCAATGAGGAATGTTCGCGACGCGAACGCAGCGTGCCAATGTGTTCGCGACTTGAGCACCGCCGCTGGTGCGTGAGAGAGCAAAACCCACGAGGCCGTCTGGAACGCTCTCTCTTCCAATGCTGGGAAGCCGCTGGAGCGATGCACTTTTAAAGCATTGTCACGAGCGACGAGCTAATTTCTTTATAACTGCTTCTTGTTGTTGTTGTGTTTGGTTTGTTATTGTTGTGTTTAGCTTGTTGTTGTTGTTGTTGTGTTTAGCTTGTTGCCCCCACCCCTCCCGCACCTCTGATTAGCACAATTGGTTATGTACGGTGTGAAATAAGTTCAACATACAAACACGCACAAAGACTCACACAGAGACCCATAGACTAACAGAGACCCATAGACTCACACAGACACATTGACTCACACAGAGACCCATAGACTCACACAGAGAGCCACAGACTCGCGGACTCACACAGAGACCCATAGACTCGCACAGAGACCCACAGACCCACACATAGACCCATATACTCACACAGAGACCCGCAGACTCACATACTCACACAGAGACCCATAGACTCACACAGAGACCCATAGACTCAGACAGAGACCCACACAGAGACCCGCAGAGAAACACACAGAGAAACACACAGAGGGAATTAATGAATATTTCGGCGAAATAACTACACTCATGCCTGGGGGTCAAATAGAAAAATGACCAATTCAGATAATAGCCACTGGTGTTGGCCGTGAGCGGGAATCGAACTCGGGTCGCCGGATTCGTAGCGCAGCGCGCTAACCGCTACAACACCACCGCTCAAACACATGCAACAAAGACAAAGATCCCCCGCGTAGCCTATTACAGACTGCTGGGGCAAGTGCTGTAAGCGAGCACCTATGAAAGCCGGCACGGTACACGAGGGGGTGGTTGGCCAGCACCACGCCCGGCCGCCTTTGTCTCCCCAGTGGCGATGTTCATACACCGCACCAGGTACTTATTTAAGGCTGAGTCGACCTAGGGGAGGCCCAGGACCGGTTCAGATAATCGTCACTGGTTGTTCACCGTGAGTGGGAATCGAACCCGGGTCGCCAGGTTCATAGCGCAGCGCGCTAACCGCTACACTACCGCTCCCCTTGACACACACAGACACACATGGACACACACACATCATACACACATTACAAACACGTGAACACATATACACACATCATACACGCACATTATACACACATCACGAACATTACACGCACATGAACACGTACACACATCATACACACATTACAAACACATGAACATACACGCATTACAAACACATGAACATACACACATTACAAACACATGAACATACACACATTACAAAACACACACACACGCACATGAACACACATACACCCATTATACACACATTGCAAACACATGAACATACACATTACAAACACACACGCACATTAACACACACACGCATCACACACACATTACAAACACATGAACATACACACATTATAAACACACGCACACACATGAACACACGTACACGCATTATACACACATTACAAACATCAACACACACACATTACAAACATCAACACACACACACGCACATGAACACACATACACCCATTATACACGCATTACAAACACATGAACATACACACCTTACAACACACAGACGTGCACATGAACACACGTACATCCATTATACACGCACGCGTTACAGACTCGCTGCACGCTTTCACTGGAGGTGAAACTAAACCACTTTCACTGGAGGTGAAAGTAGCTTAGTGAAGTCAACAATCAATAGAGCACGACCCACCCCGCCATTTTTTATTTTCGCGAACCGCACAGAGACGGCAGCTGCCCCGGAGCGCGACCGTTGGGCGTGGCCGGAGTGGTGGGTGTGGTGGTGGCGCTGGTGGCAGTGCGGTTTTGAAAATAAATTGTTTGCAAATCCACACGCCAACATTCTACAGTGCCGAGTAAAAGTGTGTGTGAACCACCCCTCCCCCCCCTCGTCAATGATGACGATGGGAATCCCATCGGGGTTTTTTTTAACCACGATAGCCTTCTTGAATCTAAAACCCCGGTCTTTTCTTAAATATACAATCGGGTTTATGTTCACCAATTCCGTGTCCTTTTGAAATAAAATGATGAATGGATTCAACAAACAATGAGTAATCGAGGTTCAGGGTAATGTCACAAAGTAAGGGAACCCCTCGGTTTAATGAGCTCAATTAAGGGAACAATTAGAATCGGGTGTTTAAATAATTAGGGAGATCTTCAGAGGTGAGTTTGGGAGGCCCCACCCGATATACAGATCAGAAAAAGTTCGTGAGTTTGGTCTTCACCATACAGGTGCGTGTGGAAACAAGTCGTGCAAGGGTTACAAAACCACTTCTAACAATTTGGGGCTCCACCAATCCACTTTCAGACAAATAGTCTACAAGTGGAGAAAGCTCCAGAACACAGTCACTCAACCCTAGAAGCGGTCGTCCTACCCAATTCTCTCCGAGAACAAACCGGAAAATCGTCAAGGAAGTCGCAAAGAACCCCAGAGAAACATCCAAGGATCTGCAGGTCAAATTTCGATTTAAAGCTTTCGTGACTGCAGGGATTCATCTTCTTGGTTCTTTCGGTAAAGTCACGTAGAAGGGAAGTAATAAAATAATAAAAATAAAACATAATAAAACAATTATCACCAGAATTGAGTGAGAATTGTTTTATTATGTTTTATTTTTATTATTTTATTACTTCCCTTCTACGTGACTTTACCGAAAGAACCAAGAAGATCTGCAGGTCCCTCTCACCGTGGCCAATGTGAACGTGCATGACTCAACTGTCAGCAAAATATTGAACAAGAGCGGTGTTCATGGAAGGATAAGCAAGGAGAACACCACCTCTCTCCAAAAACAACATTGCTGCCCATCTGAAGTTCGCCAAATAGCACACTGATGATCCACAAGACATATGGAACAATGTTCCCTGCACCGACGAGTGAAAGGTAGAACTTTTGACTTCAATGAGAAACGTCACGTTTAGCAAAAAACCAAAGACTGCTTTCGAACAGAAGAACCTCGTCTCAAGCGTCAAGCATGGTGGTGGTGGCGGTGGTGGTGGCGCTGGTGTTGGCGGTGGTGGTGGCGGTGGTGGTGGTGGTGGTGGCGGTGGTGGTGGTGGCGGTGGTGGTGGTGGTGGTGGGAATGCGATGGTTTGGGGCTGCCGCAAGACCTGGACGCTCACGATCATTGACACAACCACGAATTCTGCATTGTATCAGAAGATTCGAGAGGAGAATGTCAGGCCGTCCGTCCGTCCGTCCGTGAGTTGAAGCTGAACCGAAAGCGGGTCTTGCGGCAAGCCAATGATCATAAACATACGAAGCAGATCTACAAAAGAATGGCTGCAGAAGAAGAAAGTCCGCGTTTTGCAATGGCCTGGTCAAATTCGGCACCTAAACCCCATCGAAATGTTGTGGAAAGCTGTCCATGCAAGGCAACCCTCAAACATCACCGATTTGAAGGAGTTCTGTAAGGAGGAATGGGCTAAAATTCCTCAAATCCAATGTGTGAGAGAGGCACTGACCGACGGGTTACAGGAAACGCATTGCTGCTCACGTGATTTCACCAGCTACTGAATCTAAAAGGTTCGCACACTTCTCCACACCTAGTTATTGAATGTAGAATAATGCGACGATGAAAAAATGTTGAAAGAGTATCGTGTGGGGACCTCCCTGGCCAGTATCAAAATATAATAATAGGTTTTTACCCTTTCTGGCAATAAAACAGTCGTGTTGAGATATTAAAACACCAAACTGAAACCTTTTGTAAGGAATCATGTCTGCGTTAACCACACATACTTGTGGTGAACATGCAAACAAAACAAACATGATCTGGTAATAATAATATGATGCACTGGCTGTACTACCCGGCTTCGTCCGGGACTTGGATTCATCACACCCGGCCGCCTTTGTCTCCCCAGTGGCGATGTTCACACACCACACCAGTTACTCGTTTGAGGCCGAGTCGACCTAGGGGAGGCCCAGGACCGGTTGAAATAATCGTTACCGTTGGTGGCCGTGAGCGGGAATCGAACTCGGGTCGCCGGGTTCGTAGCGCAGCGCGCTACCCGCTACACTACAACGCGTTACCCTTCCACATGCGCGGGTCACGTGACAGATATGACGTCACAGCTCACTTGCCGTGCAAAAAATATATGTATTATTGAGCTACCCCCCCACCCCAAAAAGTGTATTTTTATAATTTGTGCATGGTGTACAGTCTGGAAAGTACCCACATGGCAAATGTCCAGTTTGTTGCATGTCGGGAAGTACGCTAAACATTTTGAACAGACACACATAATCACAACTTTGCCATTTATATTAACGGAGATTGTCTTTGAAACTGATTGGTCCACACCAGAGACAGCTTTCTTTAGAGCCTCGTCTCAAACGGTGTTCGATCAGAGGATGCCAAAAGGCGTACACAGCACAAAGACAATGCACTCTCAGGACATTGAGAGCTCGGGGTGAGCAGCTCCATCATTGGTCCAAACCAAACTGTTTGGTGTGGACCAATCAGATTCAAAGGCAATGAATAACCTGCCAGAGCATGTTTTTTTCTTTGCATGTTCACCACGAGTATGTGTGGTTAATGCAGTTACATGATTCCTTGCAAAAGGCTTCAGTTTTTTTACATCTTAACACAACTGTTTTATTTACCAGAAAGGGGTCAAACATATTCTTATAGAGTATATCGTGTTTTCGTGTCATTTGTTTAATCGGGCTATCCATTATTTGGACTTAGATTAAGATCTAATCACATTTTGGGTTTGAAATATGTCAAATATGT